AGGGGGCCCATTCGTTAGCTTGCGGTTTCTCATTTCCTCTCTCTGCGCTAGTGCTTGAGTGCTGAAATTGACTAAAGCGCGGCTGGGCAAGTTCCTAGGCGTGCGGTGCAGGCTGAACCTGACAGGCGAAACGTTAGGAAACAAAACTTCCAGAACACGGCCACACAGCCCGGAAGACCCACACCAGCCACCGCAGAGTCCATTGGAGTTGGGCGGCGAATGCATTTAAATTAATTAATTAATTAATTAATCAATCTATTATCCGCAAATGGAATGAACCAAGCTTGGCTCAGATCTCTGAAAAGCTAAGCAGCATTGGTCTTGGTTAATTCTTGGATGGGAGACCACCAAGCATGGCTTTAGGTTAGACCTAGAAGTTGAATGAACAGAAGCAGGCTGTGATAGACAGCTTCTATACATTCACCAGGAGTGGGACTCAACTCTTGTAAGATTTACATCTCGCCTTTATTTTGTGCATCATAATGCTCCACCTTCCATTTTTTATCACCACAACAACCCTGGTTGGGCTGAGAGAATGTGATTGTTCCAAAAATTCTTCCAGGGAGTTTGATGCCCTGCGTATACTGAATAAAATAATATATTTGCTCTACTTGCAGGCTAAAAGGGGACATAGGGAAGCATCCAGAAAGCATGTTGAAATGGAGCCCAGAAAGTAAACCTCAGAGCCGCATCTGTGAGGCCTTTGGCTGGACAGAATCCCACAGAGTTCAGGCTGTTGCAGAATGGATTTTTCTCCTCCTTGTAATTACCCAAATAATAGTAATTTGTTTGTTGTTCCCCAAAGCTCCAGGGATTTTTTTTTCCTCAAAAGATTGCTGGCCATAGAAAGAACTGACTCAAGAGCAACCTATGGTAAGGTCTTGCATCAGAAAGGCCCGGTGAATAAATGCCTGGGGTGGATGAATTTGGGGGCAGGCAATGACTCCACTGAGGATCTCCCGCTCATCCTCTTCAGATGGGCAACCTTAGCTGGGCTCCATCTGAAACAGGAGACCCCTCAGAGCTTCAGTCTTGAGGCTGAACTTCTTGTTCTCTTTCTGGTTCTTTCATACAGGCTGTGGCAAAGCAAGAATTGGACTCAGCCATACAAAGAATGGTCCTCCTCCTCCTGCTTGCATTACTGCTGCCCCGGGTAGTGGATGGCAGGCTCAGAATCAAATGCCCCTTGACGCTGAAGGGGGATGGAGCAGAACCCCTGAACTTTTACAGGCCAGGAGAACTTCTCATCGGTGGGATCATCTCTGCGACTCAGGCACAGTTTCGGGCATACAGTTTTGGCCAGGCCCCCTCTGCTGAAACATTTTGGTAAGGCAGGTCCACAGCAGTCACTCCATTTGCCACAGATTTCTAAAGGTCCAGCCTTGTAAAAGTATTCATCTCTCCCCCGCTTTGTCTGATAGGTGTGAGTAAAGTTGTGGTCCTGTTTTGGGGACAAGACTTTGGGGATACACTTCCCACTCTGCATTGGGCAAGGCTTCTTCTGAGATGTTTTTGCCATCAGCTTGAAGAGCAAGGCAGAGGTGTTGGGATATTTTACAAAAATATTTTGTATGGATTATATAATAGTAGTGCATTTCTTAGTAAAGCAGTGACTATTGATAAGTATAAAATAGAAGGTAGATTTTTTTTGTTTGTATTTTTAGTTTGTATT